GGTATCCATGCCGGATTCCTGGGCCCAGGTAGCGATGGTCGTAAGGTGGCTGTTCTCGTTCCCCTGCTTGTCGCACGTGTTGTACTTGGCCAGTTCATCGAGGCCCAGCATCCGATATTGGGCTTTTACCCCGGTGAACATAGCGGTGGCGGTTCCCGCGGAATCAGGCACCTGCCTGTCCACATTGTAAGTCTGCAAAAGGAGAGGTGCAATATCTTATGCCCACCCACTCGACCGGAAAGAAATATAAGAGACAACAATACAATGTACGAACGTTCTCCGTTTCTTAACGTATTCCACCTTAAAATCTCTACGATTTTACATATACAATAAGAACATGACTTGATACTTAATTATTATTTATTATTTGTAATATATCATCATTAGATTCGTTGTGAAATGTTAATTTCAACTTAAACATTCTCATCTTTAACCGATACAAGTCTACATACATATATACATAATTGAATACGTTCAAAAAAAAAAAGAAAAAAGAAAAAAAAAAAAAATTTTCATAATACCACGATATGCATGAGTAATTTCATTCAAAACTACTGATATTTTTCTCATTTATATTGTTAAGTTAGATTATAAAACGCGAATAAAGTGCGTTAATGTTTTTCGTAGCAATTCGTACCAAAACCTTTTAGCTCAATTATAATTCAGCTTACGAAATCATAAGTTTTATAATGTTTTTTTTTTCTTTCTTTTTTCTTTTTTTTTAAGCCAGCAATGTTTGCAAAAAATATTTACAAAAACTTACTTCCAATCATGTACTATACCATTATTAAATATCCTTCTATTGCAAACAAAAATAATGGAAGAAAATAATTTAAAATGTTTAAATTTTGTTTACTATCGAGTATTTTTATATAGACATTAGCGGTTGAAATTTTTTGAGCAAATTTTCAATATTTCTTTAATTGCTGTTGAGTTAAGATTAAAAGAGAGAAAATAACAAGAAAAATAAATAAATAAATAAATAAATAAATAAATAAATAAATAAATACTATTTATGTAAAAAGAAATTTAATTGAATTAAATTAAATTAAAAAAAAAAAAAAAAAAAAAAAAAAAGCAAAAGAAAAATTCTTCAAATATTGAAATTAAAATAAAAAGTATCGCTTCAGGTTTTTCGCATCGACGGCAAAATTAAAATAACAATAATGCGAATGATGTTTGCCAGATATAATTAATGCTATTATTAATGCTAATTTTTTTTTTTTTTTTTAACCATCATACCTTAACTTTGTTTTATTAATAATTATCTTAGTAATTACCTTTGAAAAGCCAGTGCTAGGGAATTTCTCGAAAACGAGTTTATACTCTTCTCCAGTATTGCCTTTCAGTTGTCCTTTGTAAATCCTCCCGGATGTTATAGTCGACAGTCCCATTCCATCGCCAATAAAAATGATCACATTCTTCGCACGGTTTTGATTATTTTGCAACGATAAGATATGTCTTAGATTTTCTTGGCCGGATTTCATCCAAAACGATGTCTCTGTGGAATTTTCGTACATCCGTTAAATGCATACTCACTTCCGTCTCGTCGTATTTCACGAAATATCTTTTCGTCTACATATATATATATATATAGATATATATATATATATATGTCTATCTTCTGTCGATGTAATGAATGTTGATGAAAATAATAAACAAACAACATCGCATCAACATTTACAAGATGCTCTAATGTCGTAAAATTTAATAATAATCAAGTAGGTGTTTTTTTTTTCTCTCTCTCTCTCTCTTAACAGTTTTTCAAATCATCACATTACATAAGAAATAATTTAGGAATGAGATTAATCTTAGAGTACCTATAGTTTGGAAAAGTTGTGCAGCTTCGCACATTGATATTGACTGTATTTCTCGAAAAGCCGTAAATAATTCGAAGAGAATACGTTCGTGAAGACAGTGATGAATAATAAAGCGCATGAATGTCTGCTGCGATGTTAAGTTGGTCAAAGTGAATCCATGCGAAACCGTTTGGACGGAGGTTAGCATTTGTTTTGCTTATGGGAAAATCCAACGCCTGTACGAACGTGTTGGAAATTTATATTCGAGGTTGCGGGAGCGCGACGGGTGATATTCTCGAAAACTCGAAAACTACGAGCCGAGCGCTTTCAAAGCCGATGATTTTCGCTTCGCTATGATGCGCCTACCGTAATCGATGCTCATAATTATATTTTCAATTATATTATTTTCAATAAAAACATGGGCGTTCGTCGTATTTTAGAATGGCATGAATAAACAGTGTCGTGAGAGGTTCGAAAAATAGTAATTTGCAACTTCATAGCACCGAAACGAGAAGCGCTCTTTCGATTTAAAACATTTCAAACGCTCAATAGGAGGCCGAGGGCAATAGAATAGACAATAGAGCATAAAAGAAATGTATTGGCGACGATGATAAACGCTACTTTTTTTCTTTTTTTATTTAACGATGGTTAAGTCATAGTTTGGATGGTTAGCTTATTGTTTAAATTTATGATGATTTCAAAGAAATTTCATTAGCTAGAATTTCGTCGACTGTGCAAGGTATTGTTAGAGATTAATAATTGTTTGCCATAGTCGAGCCGACAAAAATATTTGCCTACGCGTTTCAAAACTCGTTTCGAAGCTCATTATCATTATATTTGTGTGATTATAGAATTAGGAACTAATTTTGTACAAATAATGAAAAATAATTTGTCCCGAATCACACAATATACTCGAATAATGGTCGCGCGCTTCAAAAATGTTGAAATTCAAAATAATTAAAATTATTTAATTTTGTTAACAGTTGCGTGTGCTTGACGCGAATTAATCGTATTGGGCTAATAATCGAGATAAAATAATTCTAATAAAGTTATTCTACATTAAGTGTATTTCATTTAATAGAATGAGTGGATGAGAACGACGTATGATGATAGATAGGCAAAGCGCATATTAAAAATGCCATTTTTAATGTCAATTGTGAATTAATTTTATTTAACAAAATGGGCTGTCGAAAGTAATGCGTGATAAGCATAAGTATTAAAAAAAAAAAAAAAAAAACAAAAAATAACAAACAGCACTGATTAATCGGGGATCCGCTGTTGTGTGTTAGTACGTGTGCGACAGCACCCACACGCGCGCACACAATTTGACACTTCACATTAAAATTCATAAGTACTATTACTCAATAGAAAGCATATACGACTACGGTTGAAGAAAATATTTGTTGCCAGAACGGCCGGTTAAAAGCAACGAAGAACAATCGTTGGCAAGACTAGCGAGATCGGCAATTTCAATTCATTCGCGCATTAACAAAACAATGCGAAGCCACGGAGCTTATAATGACCGGGACACGACGCGTCTATCTATCCGACGATCAATCCGCACCGGAGGCTGTAATTGAAGGAATGAAAGCGCAGGACCGAATGGTGAAGACGAACCTTTGTGTTTGGGGGGCAGGCTAATTCCGGAAGAGAGGCAGACGAGGGCACCCAAGATCACGAATCTCGCGGCCCTTGTCATCCTGGCGCTGGCTTCCGCTCTCGCGGACGATGTGCCCATTGCTGTTGCTACTACGGCCACCACCGCCGCTGTCGCCGCCGCCGCCGC